CTTGACCCCAGGAGTTGGAGGTTGCTGTGAGCGTGATGCCATGGCACTCTACCCAGGGGGATAGCTTGAGGCCCTGTCTCAAAAAAAAGAATATTTCCTTTGAACATCATATTGGCACACAAAATGTTTCAGATTTCAAATTAGGGATACTCAATATGTAATAAATTCAAGTCATAAAAAAAGATATAAAAGATTTTATGAATATTAATCCTTAAATCACAGACAACCCATATATGTGTATGTATATATGTGTGTGTATATATATATTCAACCATTCCTTGATGACAAGGATACATTCTGAGAAATGTATCATTAGGCAATTTTATCTTTGTGCAAACATTAGAGTGTACTCACACAGATCTGGACAACATAGCCTTATTATACACCTAGGTTATATGGTATAGTCCTGCAGTCTCCACACCCCAGCTTCAGAATAATAAGTGGTATGTTTAGGAACCAGACTGCACAGAGGAGGTGAGCAGCAGGCAAGCAAGTGAAGCTTCATCTGTATTTACAGCCAGTCCCCATCACTTGCATCACCACCTGAGCTTCACCTCCTATCAGATCAGCAGTGGCTTTAGATTCTCATAGGAGTGGGAACCCTACGGTAACTGCATATACAAAGGATGTAAGTTGCCAGCTCCTTGTGAGAATCTAATGCCTGATGATCTGAGGTGGAAAAGTAATGCACTTGAGTCATCCCCAAACTATCTCCAATCCCCATTCCACAGAAAAATTGTCTTCCATTAAAACAGTCCCAGGTGCCAACTAACCTATTGCTCCTAGGCTTCAAACCTGTACAGTATGTTACTGTACAGAGTACTGTAGGCAAATGTGACACAGTGTAACACAATGGTAACTATCTGTGTACCTAAATATAATCTTATAGGATACATCCATGAGCAGACCTCCTTATGTGGTCTGTCATTGACCAAAATGTCATTATAAGGTGCATGACTCTGTAAGTGGGTATGTGTACATAAACAGCAGGTCCTTAAATAATGTCATTTCATTTTATTGGAACAAAATGGAAAAATTAGGAAAAAAAAATGACTTCTAGCTAGGGCTGCCATCTGTGTGGAATCTGTGTATTTCCCCCACCTATGTGAAGGTTCACTGTGGGTGAAACAAAGATACATATTTAGGTTAAACGGCATGTTCAAATTATCCCAGTATAAGTGAAAAAGTGTGTGTGTGTGCATCCTACAATGGATGGCATTCTGTCCAGAGTGGTTTCTGCCTTGCAGCCTGCACCCTGAATTGCTGAGAAAGGCTTTGGTCCAACCTGTGATCCTGAACTAGAATAATTACCTTGTTTATATTCATCTTTTTAAAATGTACGCTTAGCTCACATTTATTATAATCCTTAATATCAGAATTGTTTACATCATCTTATTTTCATTTTATTTTAGAGACAAGGTTCCTGTCACCCAGGCTGGAGTACAGTGGCACTATCATAGCTCACTGCAGCCTCTGACTCTGGGGCTCAAGAGATCTTCCTGCTTTAGCTTCTCATGCAACTGTGACTAAAGGCATGCACTACAACACCGAGCTAAATTTTTTTGGTGGGGGGGGTGAAGATGGGGCATCTTGCTATATTGCCCAAGCTGGTCTTGGGCTCTTGGTATCAAGTGGTCCTCCTACCTCGGCCTCCTAGAGTCAGTGTCAACAGTGTTAGGTGTTTTGGCATTTATTTAGAAGTTTGGTGAAGTTTTTGCAACCAAAAATATGCGAAAGGAAATTAACTATTGGTATCAATTAACCTATGTTAAAAGCGATTTCATTATGTGTCTTTTTGTTTAAAGTGACACTTTCTAAGAACTTAGCAACAACCTTAACTATATATACAATTGATCCTTAAACAACATGGAGGGTTGGAGAACCAATTTCTATGTAGTCAAAACTCTTATAATTTTTGACTCCACAAAAACTTGACTAACAGCCTTGACCAGAAGACTGTTAACATAAACAGTTAACACATCTTTTGCATGTTATATGTAATACATACTGTATTCTTACTTTATTGTAAGCTAGTGAAAAGAAAATGCTATTAAGAAAATCATGGGGCTCAGCGCCTGTGGCTCAAGCGGCTAAGGCGCCAGCCACATACACCTAAGGTGGCAGGTTCGAATCCCCAGCCTGGGCCCGCCAAACAA